CGAAGGGAGGGGTGGGAGGGGAGGGGAGAGGAGGGAAAGGAGTCACATGAGGCTCCTGCCCTGGGAACAGAATGTCCAAGCCTCACAGCCAATTGGCCGGGGGAGCCCAGCCCCTGCCTAGTGATTCGCTGTCTTGAAGGCGGGGTTCTCCAGCTGAGCACCCCCTCTGTTTCCAGTGGGGGCTGTGGCTGCCTGTTGACTAACTAATAGGCTCTGTGTCCCGCTGGGTCAGGGTGAGGACTGGATGGTTTCACCGTGGGATTTCCTCTCTCTCTCTTGTATGAAAAGACTCCTTCCCCAGGGTGGCCTGCCTGGCTTCCTCCCTGCCCTGCCGTGGGGCTCAGGGGCCTGTGCCCTTGGACTGCCCTGCTGTTAGCAGCCCTTGTCCTGCAGGAGCACCACTTGGTGGGCTCTGGGACGTGAGTGGTGGTCCCTCCCCATCCTAACAGGGTGACTGCCAGCCAAGCCAGTGGCATGTGCCAAGGACTTGTGCCCAGCTCTGCTGCCAGAGGCCCTGTGCCCGCGGAGGGGCCTGGGCTGAGGTGTGCACCATCAAGTTGCCTGGCTGCCTGGCTGATGGGATGGTCCCAGCTAGGAGGGGCTCTAAACGTGCCCATGGACCCTGTAGTGATGTGGAGGCCCCTGCCCCAAATGAAGGCTGCAGGCGGGGATTGCCGGGCCTGCCTTGGGCACAACTGTTAAAGGCACAGACAGTGTGGAGGCATCTGCAGGCCCAGGAGGGCTTCTCAGGGCAGGAAGCAGGAGGTGGGAGATAGTAGCCATCTGGGGAGGGTGTGGGGTGGTGTTTCCCAGAACACTTGATGGAAGGCAGAGGCCAGGGCCCCGACTCTAGGAGAGGACCCCCACGGGGTCTCCCCAGCAGGCAGAGGCCATGGAGAAGGGGAAAGGGGCTAGGGTGTCATCTACCTGGCGATGGGCTGTGATAAGGACACCCAGGGACAGTGTGACGGCAGGTGTGTCTGTCCTGTTTATGCAGACCCAGGGCTGACTGGAGGCTGTCTGGGCTTCGGTCCCCAGAGTGGTGGCAGCTCCCTGGGATACACGTGCACAGAGTGTCTTGGGGGCGGAAATAACCATGACCTCCGAGGCTTTCCTGCCGCTGAGCATGCTGGGAGTGAGAAAGGGGGAGTTCTCCGAGCCTGGAGACCTTTAGATATAGGTAACGGTTCCCATCGATGGAAGGCCATCTGCCTAGTAGACAGGTTACCGTGGTTAACACTCACCTTCTCTGAGCCACGGACTGTGGTTGTGGAGCAGGCCTGCGCCCCACCGGCTGCTGCCCGAGCTGACCAGGCCCCTGCCTGGGCCACACCTTGGAGGGCCTGGGGCTGGTCTTGTAGGTGCCCTTGCCCAGGGGCCTCAGGTTGGGGGTTGGGGTGGGAGCTCCTTATTCCTGCAGGGATGTCTGTTGTATGTGAGGCCAACATGGTCACATACCTCACCCTCTTCCTTCTGCTACATCAAGTACTTGCTTGTGGTTGGCATGAGGTGGTCGGACCAGTGGCTGTAGGCGTAGCTCCCATTCTTGTCCCCAGGCTGTGGCCTCGTGGGTCCTGCCCTAGGCATCTGTCCCAGGGTCCCAGATTCAGGCCTGGGGACTTGCTCGGGGGCAGTGAGGTGAAAGTGGGCACAGCCTCTTAACACATGTGGAGTCACCACCGCAGGTGCAGGTCCCTGTCAGCAGCTTCCCTTGCTTTCCCGTGGCCTAGAGCGCCCCCGGGGGATGCCACTGCCCCTTCCCTGGGGGTGAGAGCAGATGAGCAGAGCTGCGGGGCTGTGCAGCTGCGCTGAGCCCTCTCTGTGGTATCTGACTGAGAGGCTTTAGATACAAATCGGGTGACAAAGCTGCAGAGTGCCTGCCCTGGGCCTGTGGGCAGCCATGATGAGCGCTCCCTTCATCTGAAGACATAGCCTCCTGCTGACGACCCCACGCCACTGTGAGGAGGGGATGGTGGTTGCTGTGATGCTGGGAGGTGGTGGTGATGGGTGGGAGTGGGCAGGGCTGGAGAGGGTCAGCGAGAGCATGGCCGGGGACTGTGTGGCGGAGCGCTGGTCGGGGTGGGGTGGCCAGGGCTGAGGGCTGGCCTCACTGTCCTGCCCTTATGAGGCCTGGGGGTGCTATTCAGGTATGATGGGAGGGTTTTCATTTTCAAAAAAAACATTTTGGTTGCTGCTTGGAAAATAAGTCTAAGGGGCAAGAGTACAGCGGGGTGCTGGGGTGGCTAGAGATGGGGCCGGCTGTGTGTGGGAGCAGGCCAGTCTTGGGCCCCGGTGGTGGGAGGTGCCTGGATGAGGAGGGGTGGAGGGTAAAGCCAGGGGCCCTCGCTCATCCGTTTGGGGAATTTGTACGCCGGTGGTGGCCCGTCTTCGTTTCTCATCAGCCCTGACTGGCCCTATAGTTCTGTCCTTTCCTCAGAAGGAATGGCTGCAGAGCGAGGCCTCCTTCCAGGACTCACTCTGTGCTCTGGGCTGTTCAGAGAGCTCCCACCTGTCGGGCTTTTACTTCTGGTCCAGGGGGGAGGGCTCCGCCCACGGGGAACCTCGGCTTCTCCGGTGCAGGCTGCTCCCCTCCCAGCTCAGAGGGGTCACTGGAGGCCTGGGTGGGTGGGGCGGCTGAGTCACTCTTCCCTGCCCTGGCTCACCAGCCCTCACACAGCTTTCAGGTCAGGTTCAGGGCTCAGCCTCGTTTTCTCTCACCCTGATGGGTCCGTCCTTGTCAGTTGTGCCTGGGGTGGCATGACCTTGACCCTTGCCCTCTTCCTTCCCTAAGGTCCTGCACTTCAGCAGCGGAGAGGAAGGACGGAGGTAACAGGGGGCTGCTCACCAACAAATGCTCTCACCGCCACCCCCCTGGTCCCCCACCCACCATGGCTGGCACCTGGAGTGGGGGCGTAGCCAGCCCAGGGGGCAAAGGGCGGTGCTGAGTTCTGACCCACGTCCATGGGCACCCAGGCCATGGCTCTGAGTGTGCTGACGCACCCTCCCGGCCCTCCGTTGGTCTGGGTTCTGCCTCCCCGGCCCAGGTCTGCCATGTGACTAGGGCTCTTCCGGGGAGGAGCAGTGGGTGTGGGGTCAGGTGACTTTGCAATTGGCAAACAGCCTCGAGCACGTGCAGGGGGTCAGGGCACCTGTGTGCTGGGAGCGAGGCTGGGGCGGGTGCCGGGCCCGGTCAGTGCTCAGGCCGTTTGCAGGCGCCAGTAAGAGGGAGAAGCAGTACCAGGCCCACCAGGCCTTCGGAGACCGCAGGGACGGCGTCGTCAGCGCCCGCACCTACTTCTACGCCAACGAAGCCAAGTGTGACCTCCACATGGAGACGTTCCTGCGCTGCATCGAGGCTTCAGGTGGGGCCGCGCTCTTGGCTGGCTGTCCCCCTGCCAGGCCCAGCCCGGCGACCCGTGGAAATGCGTGCACGGGAGGCCGGACCGGAGTGCACGCTCAGGGCTTCCTCTCTGTCTGGGCGGCCCTGACGGTTGTAAGGATAACCTGGGGTGATGGGGGAGCCACAGGCCAGGCCTAAGTCACGCTGGGGTCGTGCCTGTGTCCAGCAGCTCCGAGAAGAATCCAGTTGCCCCCAGGAAGATGCCTCCCTCCCCTTTCCTGGGCACTGGGTGCCCGCGTGGACCTCGGAAGGCTTTCGGTGGCCAGTGGCCCCCAGGTGTGGCAGGGGCAAGACGCTGGGTACACAAGGCACTTGGGTTTGCAAGGGCTGCACTGTTCAGGGAGTGCGTGTCCATCTCTGGTGGAGAATTCCTCCTCACAGCCTCGCGACGGGAGTCCCTGCCGAGGGGGTCACTGAGGCCTCGTGTCCTGTAGTTGTTAGAGACCCGCCAGGTCACAGCGCCATCCCCTGTGCATCCCCAGCAGCCTCCTGTGACGGGAAAGTGGGTCCCGCACCTTCCGACGGGCAAGGATCAGAACAGTCTTCTAAGTGGTGCTGGGGAGACCCTGGCCAGTCAGGCAGACACTTGGCCGTCCAGTGCCCAGTGCCAGGGGCACCTGTTTGCCTCCCTGCCCACTCTGCCGGGGAGCAAACAGACAGGAGGCTCCCATAGAAGCAGAGACGCGCTCTGGAAGCCATAAGCCAGATACAAATGTAGTGACTGAGCCCCTTCCACGCTCCAGCCTGCTTTCTGCTCCGCGTCTGTGTTTGTGAGCCACCCCTGTGGGCAGCCGGGGGCTGATGGCAGGGGAGAGGAAGCAGCAGGGAGAGGGGTGGCCATCAGGACTATGTAGGAATGGGCAGGCCTCCCCACTGCCTTCCTGACCCACATGGCGAACGCAAATGAGTCACTGTCCCCACGGGGTGGGGTGTGTGGAGGAGCTGTGTGCCCGCCGGTTCTGGGTGAGCACAGCTCCTGGTCCCCTCCCACCCCTCTCCGGAGCCTGAGGGCTCTTCCTGCGGCTTCCCCAGGTGGGGCCAGCGATGACGGCTTCTCAGCCATCAAGCTCACTGCGCTGGGGAGACCCCAGTTTCTGGTAAGTGCTGGAACCTTCCACGTGCAGAGTTTGCAGGAACTGCAGGCTACCATGAGCACTGAGTGAAAGCTCCTGTGCCAGTACCTTGGGGCTGGGGGCCAAGCACACAGGTGGGATGGGATGGGATGGGATGGGAGGGGGCCCTGGGGCTGTGTGGGGGTCCTGGGGGCCGGGAGCTGGGCTTGCGCCCGTGACGGCAGCTCAGGCCCGCATTTGCAGCTGCAGTTCTCAGACGTGCTGATCAAGTGGAGACGGTTCTTTCACCAAATGGCTGCCGAGCAAGGGAAGGCCGGGCTGGATGCCATGGACACAAAGCTGGAGGTGGCGGCACTGCAGGTGGGCAGCCCTTCCCTGGTGGTGTGAGTAGACAGGTAGACACTGGGGGGCTGGGGAGGCGCCCTGCCCAGGAGAAACGGCCAGGCGGTGTCTAAGGTGGGTTCCCAGAGCTGCTCCAGGGCCCGCAGCCCACCCTGAAGCTGCTAGGGTTTGGCGGGGAAGGAATCTGACCAGAGGCTGCAGTCACACTGGACCGGAGGGTGGAGGGGCTGGCCCTGCAGGTAGCAGAGCTCTGCGGAGCTGCAGGGACAGGAAAGGGGCATCCGGAACCCGCGGGGAGGGACCGTCTGTGGAGCAGAAACACAGCAGGAACTAACAGTGCAACCAAGTCACAATAGATCACAAACCGACAGGCGGGAGACACGGAATGGGAGTGAGTGGGGCCGGGGGCCCGGGACAGACACCTTCTCGCTTCTCCAGGAAAGCGTGGCGAGGATGGGCATTGCGTCCCGGAAGGAGATTGAGGACTGGTTCAGAGCAGAGACCCTGGGCGTGTCCGGGTAAGAGCAGCACCTGCCTGAGATGGGCAGCTACCCGGTCAGGCGTGGTTAGCTGAGTCCCAGCAGCCTCTCCCAACCCTGGTCACCCCCCTCAAGTCTGTGGGCCTTGGGGTGATGGCGCCAAAGAAACTGCTGCCCTGAGGTGCACAGGACGGGAGCTGACAGGCAACTGGGATCCATGGAGGGGGGCCGGCAGCTCGGGCACAGGCTCGGTGACTGCAGCTGATTAGGAGTACAGCCCTCCTGGGCCCGCGGGCTGACAGGTGAAGGGCCAGGGCAGCTGAGCCCCGCAGGGCCCCTGGCTTCATCCTCAGGGGCGGGGGGCTGGGACTGAGGTCTCTGTGGGGCCTTGGTGCAAGCCCCGAGTTTTCAGAGCTGCCGCTGCCCCGATGCAGGACACGCGTCTGTGTTTGTGAGCCACCCCTGTGGGCAGCCGGGGGCTGATGGCAGGGGAGAGGAAGCAGCAGGGAGAGGGGTGGCCATCAGGACTATGTAGGAATGGGCAGGCCTCCCCACTGCCTTCCTGACCCACATGGCGAACGCAAATGAGTCACTGTCCCCACGGGGTGGGGCGTGTGGAGGAGCTGTGTGCCCGCCGGTTCTGGGTGAGCACAGCTCCTGGTCCCCTCCCACCCCTCTCCGGAGCCTGAGGGCTCTTCCTGCGGCTTCCCCAGGTGGGGCCAGCGATGACGGCTTCTCAGCCATCAAGCTCACTGCGCTGGGGAGACCCCAGTTTCTGGTAAGTGCTGGAACCTTCCACGTGCAGAGTTTGCAGGAACTGCAGGCTACCATGAGCACTGAGTGAAAGCTCCTGTGCCAGTACCTTGGGGCTGGGGGCCAAGCACACAGGTGGGATGGGATGGGATGGGAGGGGGCCCTGGGGCTGTGTGGGGGTCCTGGGGGCCGGGAGCTGGGCTTGCGCCCGTGACGGCAGCTCAGGCCCGCATTTGCAGCTGCAGTTCTCAGACGTGCTGACCAAGTGGAGACGGTTCTTTCACCAAATGGCTGCCGAGCAAGGGAAGGCCGGGCTGGATGCCATGGACACAAAGCTGGAGGTGGCGGCACTGCAGGTGGGCAGCCCTTCCCTGGTGGTGTGAGTAGACGGGTAGACACTGGGGGGCTGGGGAGGCGCCCTGCCCAGGAGAAACGGCCAGGCGGTGTCTAAGGTGGGTTCCCAGAGCTGCTCCAGGGCCCGCAGCCCACCCTGAAGCTGCTAGGGTTTGGCGGGGAAGGAATCTGACCAGAGGCTGCAGTCACACTGGACCGGAGGGTGGAGGGGCTGGCCCTGCAGGTAGCAGAGCTCTGCGGAGCTGCAGGGACAGGAAAGGGGCATCCGGAACCCGCGGGGAGGGACCGTCTGTGGAGCAGAAACACAGCAGGAACTAACAGTGCAACCAAGTCACAATAGATCACAAACCGACAGGCGGGAGACACGGAATGGGAGTGAGTGGGGCCGGGGGCCCGGGACAGACACCTTCTCGCTTCTCCAGGAAAGCGTGGCGAGGATGGGCATTGCGTCCCGGAAGGAGATTGAGGACTGGTTCAGAGCAGAGACCCTGGGCGTGTCCGGGTAAGAGCAGCACCTGCCTGAGATGGGCAGCTACCCGGTCAGGCGTGGTTAGCTGAGTCCCAGCAGCCTCTCCCAACCCTGGTCACCCCCCTCAAGTCTGTGGGCCTTGGGGTGATGGCGCCAAAGAAACTGCTGCCCTGAGGTGCACAGGACGGGAGCTGACAGGCAACTGGGATCCATGGAGGGGGGCCGGCAGCTCGGGCACAGGCTCGGTGACTGCAGCTGATTAGGAGTACAGCCCTCCTGGGCCCGCGGGCTGACAGGTGAAGGGCCAGGGCAGCTGAGCCCCGCAGGGCCCCTGGCTTCATCCTCAGGGGCGGGGGGCTGGGACTGAGGTCTCTGTGGGGCCTTGGTGCAAGCCCCGAGTTTTCAGAGCTGCCGCTGCCCCGATGCAGGACACGTTCATGTTTTGGGTTTTTGTGTTTTTTTTAATCCGCATCTGAGGATATTTTTTTCATTGTTTTTAGAGAGAGAGAGCAAGGGAGAGAGAAAGAGAGAAACATTGATATGAGAGAGAAACAGCGAGCAGTTGCCTCCTGTACGCACCCCGGCCGGAGATCAAACCCGCAGCCTGGGTATGTGCCCCACCAGGAATCAGAACCTGCGACCCTTCGGTGCACAGAACGACGCTCCCACCGTGTTTCTATACCGGCCAGGGTTGGTTTTCATTTTTTAAACAGAGAATGACATATTTTATCTGACTTTTGAAACTGAACACTGAGCCGGGTTCTGCGGGGACTGGGTTTCGGGGTGCTCTTTTAGGGAATGGACTGGTTTGGGGTCTAGGCCCCCAAACAGATCCTAGCTGCTGCCACCACTCTGCTGACCGCCCTTCTCCCGCAGCACCCTGGACCTGCTGGACTGGAACAGCCTCGTCGACAGCAGGACCGAGCTCTCCAAGCACCTGGTGGTCCCTAACATGCAGGTGACGCCACCCCGCTCGCCAGTGAGCCCTGTCCCAGAGGAGGCTGGGCCGGGAGGGGCCATGTTCCTGTCGCCCATCCTGGGCCAAGACTACTGTCCTCCCTGGCCCCACGGGACCCCATGGTCCAGGGCAAGGATGTCAAACTCACGGCCTGCGGGCCACATGCCTCATTTATGGTATTTGGCCCGTTAGCCTTTGAGTTTGACATGCTGGGTCTAGGGGGAAGAAGACAGACCCACTAGTGCCCCATAGAGTGGGACAGAGACCCACGAGGCGAGGGACATCTGGGGAGCCTTCCCATGTCATCTGCCCTTGCATGTTGGGTCACCCCGAACCTCACGGGCCTGAAAGGACTACGCTCATATGATCCCCTTCCCAGGCTCTAGGTGGTTCTCTCTCAGGGTTTCCCTTGCGGTTGTACTTGGAGCGGCAGAGGCTGGGGTCAGTGTGGAGGGTCCCCACTTGCATGGCCAGCGGCCGGCCAGGGCTTCCTCACTGTGTGGCCGCTGGTTCCTAGTGCAAGTGTCCCAGGGGCCAGGCGGAAGCTGTCACCTTTCCTAGCCTCGCCTCAGAATCCCACTTCTCCCCGCCTGACTGTTGATTAACAGTCAGTCACTAGGCGGCCCGTGTTCAGGGGAAGGAATGAGACTCCACTTGCCCCGGGAGGGTGTCGGGAACGCGGAGGCCGTGTTTGAAATCGCCTCTGAAGCTGGATGTGAAGGAACCGCAGAGGCAAACACTGCCTTCCACACACCTCCAGCCTCAGCCCTGAGGGCCCAGCCTCCAGCTGAGACACCTCGGACCCCCACTCCTCCTCAGAGCGCCCTGGCCAGGGTTAGCGGGCAAGTGGGGAGAGCAGAGGGCCCCAGTGCCACGCAGGCCTGCAGGGTGTGTGCCAGCCTGTCCCAGCTCCCTGCAGGGCACCATCTGGGGCTGGTGCCTCTGTCCCATCAGTCTATGCTGCACGGCTGTTATTTCTCTGAGACCCGCGCCCTGCTTGGGGCTGAGCCCTTCCTGGTGATTGGATGGGTCAAGGGTAGCCTCCTTAGCGCTGTGTGGGAACAGAGGGGGACGTCCGAGGGTCCTGGGGAGGTTGAGGGAGCAGAGTTGGTGCAGGCCTGACCTGTGAGGTTACACCTCCAAGTGGCCTTGTCCCTGGGTCACCAGCCGGCCTCAGGGCAGGGCGCTGATCTTCATGTGCAAACAGGATGGAGGAGGGGCCTGGATGAGGGAGTCTCGCTGGTTCTGGGGACCAGGCAGCAGGCATTGGTAGACTCTGGGCAGGGGAAGCACAGGCTTCGAGAGGGGTGGTCCAGCGCCTGCTGACACCTGCCCACGTGCGCCCTCAGACAGGACAGCTGGAGCCTCTGCTGTCGGGGTTCACCGAGGAGGAGGAGCAGCAGATGAGGAGGATGCTGCAGAGGATGGATGTCCTGGCCAAGGTCGAGGCCTGGGATGTGCCCGGGGGCTGGGGGGGCGCCTGTCTCACCTGAGCCCCAGACAAACCCTCTCTCCCACCCCTGACCTCTAAGAAAGCCACCAAGGCGGGGGTGCGGCTGATGGTGGACGCGGAGCAGACCTACTTCCAGCCGGCCATCAGCCGCCTGACGCTGGAAATGCAGCGCAAGTTCAACGTGGAGAAGCCGCTCATCTTCAACACGTACCAGTGCTACCTCAGGGTATGTCCGGCCGCTGAGCCTCCCGCCCTGCGGTGATGGCAAGCCCCCCCGCCCCGAACCCCCAGGTGGAGGAGGGAGGTTGGCCGATCCAGGTCCCAGACAAAGGAGCTTGTTCAGGGTCCACTCAATGTCTTTAAATCCCAGATGTCAAAGCCTTCACGAATGACCGTTTTCTGTAAGAATTCGATGAAAGCTCTGGGCCTTTGCCCAGAAAAGACTTGCCTAGAATTTTGCATGTCCCTCAGTAATGCTTCAGGGTGATCCCTAGAACGGGCTGCTTGGGGAGACCAGTGAAGTGTTTAGAGGCCGCGGGTGGGGGTGAGGGGTTATATAGGCAGGGGCCCACCCCCAAATCAGCCTGAGGGGACACATATACAGTGGCTGCTGGCACCTGCTGTCTCCCCTCAAAGGACTGCCCAGGCCAAACAGAAGAGGCTGCAGGTGGCCCCCCGTCACCATTCCTTGTGGACAAAGGTCAAAGGGCCTCTCTCACCCACACCTGTCTTCCAGATCCCCTGGACACCCACAGGGCACCTCCCTCAGCCACCAGCTGCTGCCCCAGTGCCCCTTGCCGACTGTACCCTGGACGCTCCTAGGCCCAGACAGGTCCTAGGACAAGCAGGTCACACTCAAAGGCGCACACAGGCCAAATAAATGAGGCATGCAGCCCTCGAGTTTGACATACTTGCCCTAGAAGTGCTGGCTGGAGGGGCTGACCTAGTTACTGACTCTTGGCCCTGACCCTGCAGGATGCCTATGACAATGTCACCCTGGACTTGGAGCTGGCTCGCCGAGAGGGCTGGTGTTTTGGAGCCAAGCTGGTGCGGGGTGCCTACATGGCCCAGGAGCGGGCCCGCGCTGCGGAGATCGGCTATGAGGACCCCATCAACCCCACGTACGAGGCCACCAACGCCATGTACCACAGGTGCGCCCGTCCTTCTTAAGTCCCAGAGCCGCAGGGCCACCTGGGGAAGGGAGGGGAGGGAAACATACCTCCTTGGTGCCGGAGCTGACACGATGGGCCCCTATCGAAGGGGGAGCAGCCCTGGAGACAGCAGCTTCTGGTAAGAGCAAGACTTTTGCCCTGAGGCCAGAACTGATTGTTTTCTGCTTTTGATTTACTTTTTCAAAAACATTAAGGTCGTTTTAAAAATGTCTTTATTGATTTTTTAGAGAGAGGAAGGGTGAGGGATAGAGAGCACACCCCCTATTGGGGACTGAGCCTATAACCCGGGCATGTGCCCTGACCGGGAATTGAACTGGTAACCTCTTGGTTCATGGGTCGACTTTCAACCACTGAGCCACACTGGCCAGGCCAGGTGGCTTTTTTAATATAGAAACGTCGACCCACAAAACTGAACTGGCCTGGGTCCCCGGCAGCTCCTGTTGGTGGCCCAGGTAGCCCTCCCCACACTGCACTCACCTTATTTCCAGGGACCATCACCGTCTCTCGTGCTGCGTTTGTCTGGTGATAGTTCATGCAGGACGGACAGGGTGGTTGTGTGCTGTTTCTCTGCGAGGTGGTGCAAATGTGTTGCAAATTCAAAGACCCCCGAGGGTCTCCCTCACTGACCTGCCTTTCGGCCCCGGCAGCGCCCTCTTCCTTCCAGGAGCTGCATGCGCCTCTCCTGTTCAGACCTCAAGGTCAGCATGTGCGCTGTCTTCTGCCCTCGCTTTGCACAGGGAGCCCCCTTTCCGGACGTGAAGCTGCATCTGTCCTGGGCGCACAGGGCATGTGCCTCAGCTAGTTTCCTCCGATGCCTAACCCCAGTGCTGCTTGCTTTTTCTTTCGTACTCACAGGTGCTGAGAAGGCTGAGTGCTCCTTGTCTTGTCCTGGCACCATGGGTACCTCTAGGAGGAGCGGGCTCGCTGAGTGGCCCTGGGCCCACCTGTGGCCTTTGCCCCGTGGGGAGCTCTCCAGGCCCAGGCTCACGTGCCTCTCCCCCCAGGTGCCTCAATTATGTCCTGGAGGAACTGAAGAACAATGGCAAGGCTGAAGTGATGGTGGCCTCCCACAACGAGGACACGGTGCGCTTCACGCTGCGCAGGTAAGGTGGCCCCGCCCACATTTGTCTGAGTGCTCCCGGGTCAGGGAAGAGCTTGGCGAGACCCTGGAAGCATGTACAGCAAACATGTCAAACTCAAAGGCTAACATGGGCCAAATGAGACATGCGGCCCGTGGGCCGTGAGTTTGACATGCTTGATGTGCAGAGTGCCCTGCCAGGCACGGTGGGTGTTTGGGGGAACATCTGTGGGACAGCGGGAGAGGCGGCTTTAGTGCTTCCCAGACCCTGCCCCACCAGGTCTTGCGAGGCATTGGCACTGCTGTAGCAAAGAGGCTATCTGCAGTTAATTTGGTTTTTAAAATGAATACCTGGCGTACTAGTTTCAAATTCAAAAAAATAAATGTCGTTAGGTGACTTAAATAGCTTCTTAAAATACACAAATGCAGGGTGGAATGCTGAAACCCCTCAGGAAACCTTTGATGCCTGGCCTCTTTAGAGACAATTACTCCTAACATTTTACATGCATTTGGAATTTAACAGAGTCTGTTTTCTCTTTAAATGCCTGCCCTGTGGAGCAAAACTTTGGTGGGATCCTTACAAGTCAGATATAGGAAGCAGGTGAAGCAAAT